TGCCTAGAAAGACTGTTTAAAATTCAAATTCCTAGAGCCAATCCTGAGGTGACATTTCAATAGCTGGGGATAGAGCCTGAGAATATGCATTTTTATCAGGTTCCCTGATGATGCAAGAGGTCCATTTGGAAACCCAATACTATATACCACATAGCAAGCCTCCTCACACATCATCTAATTTAATACATGTGCTAGGCATTGGAGCGCTCAAAACAGTGAAAACAAACAAACAAACAAACAAAACAAACACTGACAGCTCACTAAATAAAACAGAGACCATTATTCACACATGCACTGAATCAGGCAAGGGTTTCTATTGAATGCACATGACACCAAACCCCATGGTTGGCAAGAGGAATACGGATTTGAACTAGATACGTTTTTAGTCTACCAAGGAAGCAAGAGAAGAAAATCAAACCATGATAGCAGTTTAGTTTGGGAAGTATGTTGACATATCTCTGACACATCTTGTGGCCAATATACACATGGTGTTATAGAAGCATAAAGGGTGGTAATCAATTAGAATGAGCTGAGGGGACAGATATACTGGAAGGGCTGACACTTGAAGGGGTTATAAATTTTGAGTGGAAGCTAGATGAGAAAGGCAGGGCAAGACATTCTGGACAAAAGAAAGAGCAAGCCGTGTGTGTAGTAATGACCCAGGCCTATCTAGTGAAGCTCACCCATCGTGAACATGTGGATGTGGACCCACAGGAGTCTGAAATCATCAGAGTATGCAGAGAAAAGATTAATATTGGGTGGAGACATCTTTGTACAATCCTCATACAAGAAAATATTAAACCTATTAATGCTGAAAGCTTTGCCCAGGGAACATTCATGGGTCCTTAATGGCTAAATGACAAGAAGCCACTCAAGATACTTTAATAAGAACTTCCAGTTATGGGAAGAAACTCAGAAAATGTAAAAATGTGGAAACCAAACGTAGAAGAGGGCACCGACAAAGAAATGGAAAGTCATAGTGTCAATGCATGCGGGCAGACCAAGGGAAGCAGAGTGGCAGGATTCTCTGCAGTCTCAGTTAGCTGCAAGGGGTTTACCTGCCATTTTTGTGGTCTTGAAAAAATAGAAAGCAGGTATGATAGAGAGCTATTCACATGGAAGCTATGGAAATTTAGAGAACAAATCATAGGGAGATGTGGGTAGCCCCTGGAGGGGACAGATGCATCCACCAGTGATTTCTTTAAATTCTGGGTGATGTGAACATGCTGAAACGCCATAGGAATTCCAGGCAAGTCAACTCTGACCGTGAGAACACACGCTAAGAAAGAAGGGGGTGGGGTGGGGATTTTTGTTGTTCTGAGATAGGTCTAAAATGAAGGAGATTAGATAAATCAGTATAGGCTAACTGCTTTAACAAATAACCATGCAATTTTTGGTGGCTTAACCCAATAAGATTTATTTTTTCACTGCCCAATACAGTTTTGGGGGGAGGGGAAATCATCTCTACACTGTCATTCAGGAACCCTGGCCTCCTTCCACGTAGTGGCTCCTCCATCTATTAGATCCTAGGAGTTCTACTGTGAATCCTCTACATATGGCCAACTGGGAAAAGAAAGTTCTGGAAGATCATGTTAATGGTTTTGGTTTCAGAAGCCACACCTGAGATCATATTACTCTGCTTCCATGCATATCCCATTAGCCAAAACTCAGTTCCTGTGCAGCCACTACCTGCAGGTATGCTAGGACTTGTCATTTAGCTGTGTGCCCAGAAGGAAGGGAAATGGGGTTGGTGAAGCCATAGCACTGTCTCTGCTCCAGAGGGGTGCAGAGCATTCTTTAGCTCATCTCGATCAGGTGAGGATGCTAACCACCTAGGGCAGTCAAGGACAGGAGATGGGACAGTTTATTTCATTAAAGGATAAATGCTAAAGTAGGTCATATAATTAAAGGCAGAAAAGCATTTTTTGACAAACAACAATATAAGATATAAAGCAGCACTAAGGGAGAATTCACATTTTTTTCCCAAACCCTTATACCCAGGGCCAATTTTAAAGAATGATAGTTTGAGTCAAGGACCTGATCAGTAAAATTTGGGGGAAAGCTTTCCATACAGTCTAAAGAAGAAAGCAACAGGAGGAAGATGATACACCAGATGGCACCAGTACAAAAGGCACATACATATCATTGACTCCTAATCATTCTTTAGTAACCTTTTTCCACACATATTCCTCACACCAGGAAATGTTCATTTTAAAACAATTTAAAATCCTTTGGGACCTTCCCTCCACCCGACATGTGATCAGCTTCAGGGCTCACACACAAATCTATAGAGAGCTTTAGGCCTCAGAGTAGTCTAAGGATAGACAGGGCTCTCATTACTTTAAGGCAGAAGCAGTCCCACACCTCAGCCAGGGACAGCCTTGACCACTCCATCTAGGGCTAGCTTTTGCTTGGAGCAAAAGAGAGACAGATCTGCACACCTGTCATAAAAAAGTAGGTCATGAGACTCTCTCCCCTCTTCCACTAAGAAGAATAATAAGGTGGCATTGATGGGAAGCTCATGTGTGCCAGGCACTATGCTTACATGCAGTTCAATGAGGTAGACACTATTATTATCATCCGCATTTTACAAATGAGGGAACTGACACCGAGAAAGGTTAAGTAACTGATCCAAGATTACCCAGTTCATAAATGTTGAAATAGAGCTTAAACTAGTTGCCTTCCAGAGTTAGTGCTCTGATGAGTGTATTTGACTTTTGATGACACTGTATTTCCTCAGTTGTAAAAGCAGGCAGGATGGGGTGAAAAATAATAGTCAAAACAATTTTCAAAAAATGCTTTTTGATGAAAATAAAAGGTTTTCTACTATTAGCATTCCGCAAGTCAATTGGTCTATTTCTTACTTTACCATTTTTGCAGTTGCCAAAAGACTGTAAGTGTAGCTGCATTTTCCTTAGTTTATTTTTAGCTCCCTTCCTTCCCAAGCTTCACAGTCAAAGAGTTCCCTGCTTTTATTTCAAGGGGGCCCCCAGGGTATTTATTTTCCCTGGTGATTACTAAAGCAGGTAGCCTTTTAGTCTCGCAGGGAGGAGAGGATGAAACAGAGTTGCAAAAAGTTGCATATTGATATTTTAAAATTTAGGCACTGTATCTCTAAGTACTGACAATATGTTATGTTAATTATCCTTTAGAGTGTTGCAATACTAAGCAAACAGGACCCTGCTTACTCTGTAGTCTGGAGTAGTATGGAACAGAACAGGTAGGACAGAACACCCCAAATACGTTGTAAATGTGCACAAGACTTGATCTTGGGGATGGAGAGGATAAAAAGGAGGTTATTCAGAGTCAAACGCTGAGCTGCTTTCAATGAGTTCTTCACAGACATCAATAATGAACTCTTCAGAAACCCTCCTCCCAGACATCCCTGAAGTCGAGTTTGTAACAAGACCAATAACTCACTTCTTGATCTCTGAAGCCACTCATTCAATTCTCTTGACTTCAGGGCCAAAATGAGTTGTTTATTACTCCTGGCAAGTATAAAAAAAGCTATCACAACTTGTGGTCAGTTCCAAGGATGACAACTTGTTTTCTAATAACGTGCATAGGGACAATGGTCCAAATTCCTGAAAAGATTTAGGTACATTAAATGTATAGAGATGGTCATTTTAAAACCGTATTTTTCAGCAATAATTCAGCATCTAATCTGATAAATGACTGCATACGGAGGCTGTGAGGGTATACAGAAACCTTCAGAAATAAACATGAACTGGAGGCTTGGCAGGTCAAAAATATTCAAACAGAATAGTCTACCAAAGAAAAGAGTTTAGAATATGCATCAGCCTCCATGTAACCTTCAGGCAATCAGCTAACTTCTCTAGAATACCAGTTTTCTCATCTTACGAAATAAGACTTTTTTCATGCAACAAACAGTATAGCCTGGTTAAAGACTAGCCCTGGAATCCCAAACACATTCAACGGATTGCTGGCACTGGTACTTCGTTTCTTCATTTGTTATAATTCAGATATTAGTGAGTACCCTCGAGAGGCATGATGATTAAATCATCTACTTAAACCTCTTAGTGCACTGCCTGGCCACTTGTAAGTAGTCAATACAGGCTGACTGTTCTCATTTGTATTATTACTGATGGAGCCCATCCTATGTCCGATATTGGCAGAGAGGCCCAGAATACAAAATTGTGTAGAGCGCAAGCCTACTGTCCAGCAGCTCACTTCGTAAGGAGGAAGTGGTCGGCACAAACAGGAAGCATCAAATTCTCCCTGGGGAGAGATAGGAGGCTTTCTAGAAAAGCTGCTGGAGCCCAGTCTTAAAGATCAGCAGCACTGGGACCAGAATCAGACGTCTAAGAGTTCTCTGGGTCGCATTTGACACCATGCTCCTTTTAAACCAGACGCCAGCTCTGGGTCGGCAGCTTCACTCCGGCCTTTAAGGGAGAGGAGCTGAACGTCGAAGGTGCAATTTCAAAGGCCTTTGTGCCCGGCAGGAAAACGGTCTGAGAGCCAAGGGCCATTTCAGGGGCCCTCAAGAACCGAGTCTCCGAGGATTCCCGCAAGGCCCCAGGTTCCCGCCTTGGACAATGTCGCTCGCTGTTCCGAGAGCCGCCCACAGTGCCTGGGGCACGCTAGGTGCACCGGGGTTTCTTCTCCACCTCCAGACTCAGCTTCGCTCCTGGACTCTTCTCCCGGAACACGGAATGCGGGCGGACCTTGTTCTTTGCAGAAGCCAGGGGCGCGGGCGCCAAGTGCGCAGCAGCGCCATGCAGAAGCGCCGCACCCCTTGCGCGCTCCTCGCCAGCGCTCACACCTCCGCTCCGGGTGCGAGGTGGGGGGATTGCGGGGAACAGGGCGGGGCGGGGCGGGGTGCACTGGAGGCCCGCCCCCGCTCCCCTCCCCCTCCTGCGGAGATTGACAGGGCCTGGGCATCCGCCCCAACCAATGAGCGCGTCCTGGGGCGGGCCCTGGAACCGGCCGCCCTGGCTGCTCCAGCTACTTAGAGTAGTCGGCGCGGCTGTAGGAAAGCAGAGCGGAGCCGGGACTGCCCAGGTGGAGCAGGGGCCCCAGCCAGCGCAGACCCGGAGGTGCACCGGCACCGCACCGCACGGTTCGGCGCGGGGCAGAGCGGAGCCGCAGCCCCACGCGCCGCCCGGGACCCACTCGCCACCGCCGCCTCCGCAGCACCCATGGGGACCAGGAGACTTTAAAGGAGTTTGGGGTTTCGGGAGCAGGGAAATCACGGGTACGGAGAAGCGGCTTTCTGTGCCTTGGAAATGGTTTTTCTTCCTCGTCTGATTGTTTGAATCCTGTGCTGGGTAGGAGGGAGAGGGGTTTTTCGTCTGAAAGTGGACCTCCACACGCACACACCCACACTCGCACACGTACACTGCGCTGGCTCCTTCCCCTGCCTCTTTGTTAGGTTATTTTAGACAGAGCAGCCTCGCCCTGGCGCAGTCCGATTGGCTCTGCTGGGGAGAAGGCAAGAGAAGTAAGGGGCAGAGTGCACCTGCCTGTGTGGGCAGGTGTGCCCGGGTGCTTGGGTGTACGTGCAGCGGCGAGCGTGCAAGCGTGGGGCTGGAATTGTGTTGGAATGTGGGGGGTTTAAGTATGCCAGTGTGTCGCCGCGAAGGTTTGTCATTGTGGGTGTGTGTGACATTATACATGAGTGTACCAGCCTGGCAGTGTCTGGACTCCAAGTGTGCAAAATTTTCCTAGTGTCAAGGGAATGCCTGCGAGTGTAACCGATTGTCATTGTGTGAGCCGCTGTCAGGGGAGGAGAACGACCTAGTGCAAAACTGGGAGGTGGGCTAGAGAGGGTGGGGACAGAAATGTGAGCGCAGCTTGCTTGGAGCTCTCAGGCCTTAGGCTCCCTTCTCCCTTCCCACCCACCCTTCCGTTCTTCGCTGGGTGTCCGTCTCCCATGCTGCCACACCAGCGCTCTCCTCCCCTTTTGGGACCCCCGCACGCTCTCCAGCCAACCTGCGTTTTCTCTTGTGGGAGTTGGATCGGGTTCCAGGACAGGGTCAGAGGCTGTGTGGTGGCGTCCGCTCTCGTCCGCCAGACTGGTGTTTCTTCTTTGCCCCGCATCCCCCCAGGGAGGCACAGGGACTTGGCTGGCGCAGGTGACTCCTGTGGGGGCGCGTGGGTGGGCAAGCAGGTCCCAGCGGTACTGCACGTCTTGGGAAGGATCAACGGGAAGGGCACCCCAACTCTGATGGCTTCTCTACCTCTCCTCTCTGCTTCAACAGATCCCTGCTCCTGGCCCTAGTGTCGCCGCGTCATTGATGGGCAACCAACTGGACCGCATCACCCACCTCAACTACAGCGAGTTGCCCACAGGGGACCCATCGGGAATTGAGAAGGACGAGCTGCGGGTCGGGGTCGCTTACTTCTTCTCAGATGAGGAGGAGGACCTGGACGAGCGCGGGCAGCCAGACAAGTTTGGCGTAAAGGCCCCCCCAGGCTGCGCCCCCTGCCCAGAGAGCCCCAGCCGCCACCACCACCACCTGCTGCACCAGCTGGTCCTCAACGAGACTCAGTTCTCCGCCTTTCGAGGCCAGGAATGCATCTTTTCCAAAGTGAGCGGCGGACCTCAGGGCGCGGACCTGAGCGTCTACGCGGTCTCCGCGCTGCCCGCGCTCTGCGAGCCCGGCGACCTGCTGGAGCTGCTGTGGCTGCAACCCGCGCCGGAGCCGCCCGCGCCCGCCCCGCACTGGGCCGTCTACGTGGGCGGCGGGCAGATCATCCACCTGCACCAAGGCGAGATCCGCCAGGACAGCCTGTACGAGGCGGGCGCGGCCAACGTGGGCCGGGTGGTGAATAGCTGGTACCGCTACCGCCCGCTGCTGGCTGAGCTGGTGGTGCAGAACGCCTGCGGCCACCTGGGCCTCAAGAGCGAGGAGATCTGCTGGACGAACTCGGAGAGCTTCGCCGCCTGGTGCCGCTTTGGCAAGCGGGAGTTCAAGGCGGGAGGGGAGGTGCCGGCCGGCACGCAGCCCCCGCAGCAGCAGTACTATCTCAAGGTGCACCTGGGGGAGAACAAAGTCCACACGGCCAGGTTTCACAGCCTGGAAGACCTCATCCGCGAGAAGCGCCGCATCGACGCCAGTGGCCGCCTGCGAGTGCTCCAGGAGCTCGCTGACCTCGTGGACGACAAGGAGTAGCCGCGGAGGGGCTGCCTGCCCCGCCTTCTCCCCGCATCCGCTCCCTTCCCGTCCCCGCACCCGGGCCTCGCGGCCCGCGATTCCGCCCCACGCCCCGCTAGCGCGTCCGCCGCCGGTGGCCAGTGCCCGGGCTGCACCCTCGCACCCCTCCGGCAAGTGACAGGAAGTCTCAGGAACTGACCCTGGGGCCGAAAGGGCGCAGCTGCGTGCGCCTGGCTGAGAGTCCCGTTGGTGGTGACGGTGTTGGGAGACCCAGCGTGCGCTTCTCCTTTGCGTTGTAAGGGGGTAAAGGGGAATGGGCTGAGGGGAGCAAGGACATGGCCCGCGTGTCAATGGTTAGTGACTATCACCCGACAGGGTCACAACCCTTTTCTAAAAAGGGACCATTACCGCCCCAAATGCGCACACACAGATCGGTCGGAGGCGAGAACTGGTCTTTTCAGGACACAGTTCAGCTCTTGTACGGATGTATCCCCAGATCGCAGGATTTCCAAGAAATCGAGTCTGTCCCTTGTGCACTTGTGAATAATTCCACAAGAGAGCACTTTGGGACTCCGGGTTATCCTGAGGCTGCCCGGGACCTTTCCAGCTGTCCAGCCCCAGGTCTCCGGACGTTGAGCTCCAGGCTCCGGGCTGAGCTAGCTAGTGTTTGCTTCCTGTTCCTTCCACCGAGGGAAGCGAACGCCACCCCCACCGCGTTTTGCCTGTGAGTCTCCCTAGCTGGTAGGAGGGAAGGCTTCCCGGTCCCGGGAGGAAAATGGCGCAGCTAATTTGGTGAGGAGAGCCGGCCCCGCCCCCGAAAGGAGATAGTTCGCCAGGTGTCTGGAAACTTGAAGGTGGGAAGAAGGGCGCTTAGTGTTCTGAACCCTTGGGCTGCATTTCAAAAACAGTCATATTTTTAAAGGGGTTAGAGGAGGGGGAGGGAGAGGACATGGCAACATTCCAGAAACCAGCATTATTACAACACCATAGCCAGTATGTTTAGTTTGGCTTTTCCTAACATAGAAATCTTAGAAGGTGGGGGAAGTGGAAATAAAGTTTTAAAAAAGAGACAGCAGTTTTCCAACTATGTCAACAAAGCCTATCGTGTTGATGTTTTTATTGACCATTTTAGCAACATGCTAATAAAATTTCAAATTGAAATTTTTATTTTCATGGCTTTAATCCATGATAGTTTAAATACTGGGGGCCATTAAGAGTGTATTTAGCTAAGAGCTTAGCTAACATTGCCTTTTCACTCTATTTTTCTCAAATCGTATGAGAATTCTGTTTTTGACTATTGTAGTTAATTTTTTGGCTTTAAACAGCAGCCCTAGTAATGGTGGAGTTGTTAATCAATGTGTATATTGTACTGAATTTCTGTCAGTTAAAGGGTTTACTGCTTTGGTGGAAATTGCTAGCAGGTTCAATGATGTTTCTTTTCTTCATGTTGTATGTCATTACCGTTTCACATTTTTCTTCCTCTCCTACTGATCTCCTTAAAAAGAAATCTAGAGTTGGTGGCTTTATTCCCCTCCTCCTTGGCAAGTCCTACAGCTCAGTTCTGCCTAAAAACAGGGTAGAACTTGTAGGTTCAGGACAAACGTGTGTTTTTCAAAAAAATTAAGGCTGGGTGACACCCCCTCCTTGGGCGAGGATTTCCAAACTTCCCTCCTTGTGCTGCAGCCCCAGCCTGACTTACTGTTACTTGATTCAGTGTGTTAGATACTTATAGCATCTATGTCTCTTTCAAGAGAATTTGTCAAATAATGCTGTTTAGCTAATTGTTGCAAGCAATTGCATATTGATAGCTGTGATTTAGTTGGACAGCAAATATTATGGCCAAAGCCAGTTTCTTGGCATTTCAAATATAATGCAATAAAAACTAGTCGAGGTTAGCTGAGACTGGAAATGCCTTTTTCATGGTAAATGATTCATTTCTTTTTTTTTTTTTCTTTTTTGGTTTTCATCCTGGATTCATTCCCTGATCTTGAATCAAAAGGTCACATCAATGAAATATGAACTAAAGTATTTTTCTTAAGCCTATTGAGTGATTTATTTTTTAAAAAATGTGTAAATGCATATGCTTTTCTTTCAGCATAAACAACAGCAAAATTTTGTAATAACTAACTTACCTTTGCATGTATGGAGAACTGAAAGTCATTTATTTCCCTAACTTATTCCTCTTCTGAATAACAGATGGCAGATCATAAACCGAAGTTCTTTATTGTATCTACACACTCCACGTTCTTTACTGTGCCCTACTACTGTATCTCGGCTCCCTGCTGTATTAAACACCATCTTAAGCACTTGTTCCTACAGGACTCCTTCTTGACATTTTGTCCTCCACTTCAAAGTCATTCAAAGTGTGAGATTTCATCAGAAGAAATGAATCAGTCTCTATCATACCTAATACTAAGATTTATTTCCTCTGATGGTACATCATCTGAGTTCTCTCTTGCTAAGAGGGTCACTCTAACAGAGGAATAGTTTATCAGCTTTATACTTGCTGAGACTAGACTGAAAATAAAAATAAGTTTGGCAGTTAAAGTAGCATTCATTACTATATTGGTCTTTTAAGGGTTGGGTTGATGATAAGACTTCTACAAATTTGCAATAATAAAACACTGGTTACAAAAGGAACTTAAACAGTTTGTAAGGTTTCTCATATTCCTGTTGAAAAAATCATTTATTTTCTCTTGGTCAATGTTAATAACCAACGGCAGAATAATTCTCATGGTAGTTCAGCATGGAGAGGATATTATCAAGAGATTATCTAATGGCTTTTTCCTGAAAAAGGTGGATATTTTTAGGGCATTAATAAGGACAT